CTTCGCGCTCTGGCTCACTATAGTAGGCCACATCATCCTCCAGCCATGACGTCTCTCAAAATGCAACAAAGTGTCAGTCTTAACATGCCCTCTCCACGTTTCCCACACCTCCTCCTCTAGTACATCTGCTTGAGCCTCAGAGAATCTTTCTCTATCACGCACACTTTGGAAGAACTTTGGGTTCAGGAACCTAAATCCAACGGATCATAGTCCTAAACCAGTCCTACACCATCGCTTCAGGATCCGGGCTGGTGGCAAAGGACCGGTCGAACGACGTCCAGGGGTCTTCCTGAGGAGCATAGACATGCAGTTTTCGAAGACAACGCCCGACAGCTGGCTAGATGCAACGTCATGTGGCAAACAAACCGCCCTGACTGTCATCATCTTATATATTATGCAAACATCTTTGTGAAACAATGTGAAACCTGTTTGTAAGATCGCACGGCTACCTCAATTGTGCCGGATAGAGTCGTGCCACCAAATCGGGCCAAATCCTCTGCAGTAGGCAGCACCAACGTGCTACTTATGCTCATCCACAAAGGACCTCAAGAAAATCCAAATCACTCAAGACTCAACAGTTTCATTCAAAACCCCTGCGTTCGCACGAGTATCTATGTGGCAAGCAAAAATCGTCTGGATAGTTGCAAATCTCATCAAATCTCCGAAGAAATCATATACGGTCTCACTATTTGTGTGTTGTGAGCTACTTAGCAGCCACATTGTCGAAGCCTCAAAGTGCTCAATGGCCATCGGAAACACATCATACCTTCCACGCTAAGACCTGTAGAGTCAGAAAACTGACTGAAAGATCCGTCTTCAGGATATCTTCAGGAGAGGGCACTCACGAAAGACTCGATGGTTTTTGTCTTGACATTCACCTTGCGCTTCAAAAACTCAAAACAGGCTGCTCTTACTTCCATCTCGTTGCCCGAGGCCATCCTGCTTGCACAAAAGGCCATCAGCAGCAACAAAAATACATCGGCTTGGTTTGCTACCCTCAACCAAGTCGCTTAGTCCACTTTCTGTTCCGTTCCATTGCAGGTAAGCAAGCAACACCAGTTGTTGCTTCTTTTTCTTTGCGCGAAAGGATGCAAAATAGGCAAACGACTGTTGATCAAACTCTTTGACAAAAACCTGCGAATGGATGGCTTTGTCCTCCTCAAAGAGAGCCTCCAATGGGGATGGCCGGCTGCTCAGTCCACAGGGTCTGGGCAACCCACCTCCATTCACCTTGGCGCACTGCACTGCGATGCAACGCTAGTTAGAATGTAGATAGAGAAGTGAAACAATTTGCAAATGTCACATACCTGCATCAGCCTAGGGCTAACACTACGATCCCAAGTATAATCTATTATATCACGAGAAAAACGGCCAAAACTTGTTGAAACCTCCTTTGCTCCAAAGGAGCTGCCGCCTCTTTGATCGGCCTCGGCGGACTGCGCCCACGGCCTGGACCGCCGAAGCGGCGTTTCAACATGAAACGGACGCGCCGACGTGTGGGCCCGTTAAGCCTCCGTCACCCAAACCGAACATGGGCCAAGCGGGCCAACCAATCGAAAAAGCCCTGTTCGTAGCGTCCTTGTTCCTAGTAGTACGTACGGCCAGGAGCCCCTATAGTAGCTTCTTGTTACTACTATTAGTAAGGCACTTGTTACTAGAAGCGATGCACTTGTTCCTAGTAGCTTCTTGGGGGTGCAAACTGTTTGGGGGATCGAAATCTTCCGTGCCGTGCCTGGAAAACCGTTCTGCCCAAGCGTTGCGGTCGCCATGGCTTTGCAACATTCAAGCTATATATATATAATCACCCACATGTTTTCCCTTGTATATGTCTGACTCGCATAAGTGTTTCTGATCTTTGAGTTAATCACAGTACCATTATACTTTATATTAATGCAGGACAATAAATCCACACATCTTTAGCAATATCTTGGCCAGGTGTCTCTATTCAACATGTTACAATATATTTGAGCAGTTGATGTTGTTGCACTTTGCAAACAAGCTTGCTGTATGACATCGCGAGCATGCTTGCTGTAGAAAAGACCGTCTGCCCCTTCGCATGTCAAAGCTTGGAAGCTGGAACGGCAGAGGAAGCAGACGTCCGCTGTCGAAAAATATACAATATTCAATCCATTTCAGCTGGATAGCTGGATTCGAGCAACCCGTAAGTAAAGCTCAACATGCTTAAATCATGTGTATCACAACATCAAACTCTGCGATCTCTTACAACAAAGACCAGTAGTAACAGGTGCCTTACTAGTAGTAACAAAGAAGCTACTAGTAA